ATGCTAAATTTGTATTTTTCATGTCTAAATTATTTATTTATATCCTAAAGATGAAGAGTGAAAAAAATAAAAAGTATTTATATAATTTACAAGTTCGGTGTTCGGTTCGGTTCACGGTTTTTCGGTTTTAAACCAAACCAAACCATTTGATTTGAGCAAAATGCTACCAAACGGTTTACTTAAGCAAAATCAAACCAAACCAAACCACCAATTTTCAGTTCGGTTCGGTTCGGTCAAACCAAACCATTTTGCCCACCCCTAGTTCTGATGCGTCGCTGCGAAGAGAATCGAAGAAGAGAGTGAATGAATTTGTTGAGGAGGAAGGAGCCGGTGAAGTGATGCGCTGCAGAAAAAGAAAGAAGAAGTCCTAATATAAATTGACATGAAATCAGTGTTAGAAAAAAAGATAAAAATGATTAAAAATGAAAAAGATAAAATATGATAAAGAGAAAGATAAACAGATAAAAAAAGATAGGAGTAATACTACGTATAAAGATCAAAAGATAAAAAAAACGATAAGATGGAAGTAATATAAAGATAAAGATAAAAAAGATATGTAGGACAAATAAATGAAATGAGATGAATCCTCCATATATTCCATCTTGCATGTTCAAGATTCTTAGTAATATCCATTACGTCATATTTTACAAAGTCTACAATGTCCTAAACCATCTTTTTTATTGCTGGCTTGAACAAAATATAGGGAGTAATTATATTTTCACTCATTTGTTCATAATATTAAAAATAACAGCAGACAAAGCAGAGCAACAACTCAGAGCAGCCCTAGAGCGAGACATAGAACTAGCTAGCCCCGGAAGGCCGTGCCAGATCGCTAACTCCACACTATGGTAGGCTAATCTGTATTGTTGGTAAACAAATGGATCATTTATAGTTTGGATTTCACGAGCAAATTTTTGACTTAGAAATTAATAATCATAAGAAACAAAGGTTATCAAAGCTTACACGCCTGGTTTTGTGTGTACAAACAACTCTTATTTCGTTTTTAAGGTGAATTGTCTTTAACATAAAATATTTTTGTAAGATAATTTTTCTTATAAATGTCACAAACAATTCACCTTATAAATGAAAAATATGTGTACATAGACAAAACAGGCGTGTGAATGGCATGCATAAGGCTTTATGAGGAGGACACTATGAGCCCGTTTATAATGTTCAAATTGGCTGTATTGACAGACTCTACAAATCCTTCTGATTAATGAAAAAAGTTATATTTAAAATATATTATTAACAAAATAAAGAAAAAATAACATGAAAAACGATTAAAATAACCCTCTATAGTAACTCCATCCAATTCACAAAAAAGTAACTTCAAGTCTTCAACCTTACTTTTTTTTTGTTATTACTGAATTTAATACGTAAAATAAAATTTATATGTTTGATAAAAAAAGACTTATAAACCAAAAAACATGTCGATCAAACAGGCTCTACTCTATATAGGTCTGATGTGTAATGTTTTTTGGACCTAAATAGAAAATTACTTAAATAGAAGTAAAACATAACAAGACTTAGTGAATTTTTTATCCTTTAATTCTTTTAGAGCCCGTTTGGTAGCACGAAAATCGGTTGTTTTGGCTGATTTTGCTGAAATTTATGAAGTTGTGGCTGAAGTGACTGCATTGACTGATTCTGCTAATTTAAGAAAAAATTATTTTTAAAATATACTTTATTAATAAAATAAAGAAAAAATTATATGTAAAAATAGCTAAAATGGTCATCTACAGTAACTTCAGTCAATACAGCCAGAAAAGTAACTTCAACCTTACTTTTTCTGCTTATTACACAATTCAGCGCGCGAAAGCAAAACTTACGTGTTTGGTGAAAAAGCTGGCTGATAAGCCGAAAAACAGTGTTACCAAACAGTCTCTTAATAGGATTACGTAAATCCTATATTTTGAGAAGAACCGCTTTTAATCCTATTTGAGATTTTTTTCTATGTTTAACTCCTATATTGAGAAATTTCTATAAAATAATATCATCAGGTTATATATAAAGGGGATGGGTTGGCCGTTGGGGTTAATATGGGTAGCTGTCTCCACCGCCCTCAGAGTGGATACGCCACTGTTTCGAACCTTGATAAAAACTTGTAGCTGGATAGATGAGCAGGGGGCAAATAGTGTTTTGTAGCTGATACTGTGCTTAGGCCTGAGACTTAGAACCGGAAAACCGGGAAACCCGCCGGAACCGAACCGAAATTTGCGTTCGGTTCTTACCCATTTGGACTTTTCACTTTTTCGGTTCCGGTTTTTAAAGAAATTACATTATTAGAACTGGTTAGAACCGAAATATGTGTATAATTACGAGTAGTTACGTAATTTTTTATTATAGTGGACTAGCCCACATTTAATAATAGGCTTTTAACAGTTGACCTAATAATCTAATACGCTAACCATTATTTAGAATTACCCGCCGCTGGTTGTCGACCGGAAGCTTTCTTCCTCGTTCAGTGCATTGTTTGAACATAAGGCTAGCCTTGTGATTTTTAAACAATCTAGGACATAAGGGTTAAACGGGATTAAGCAATATAGGATTAAAAAAGGCCGTCTGCTGCAGGCCTGCAGCCCAGATTAAAAAAAAAAAACTTAACAGGGTTAGACGCCGTAGTATAAGTTTGCCTAGGAGCCTCTGCAACCATCCTCGTTCGTAATTCCTACTTCCGCTGCTTTCTTCCCTGCGCACAGAATTCTGCAACTTTTTCTCTGCTCTCATCCTTATCCGCAGGTATGGGTTTAGGATTTTACATATTTATTGATAGATGTAAGATGTTCTGGATGGTTAGGAAAAAGGTACTCAAGGATAAAGTGCAGATTGCAGAAGTAATAGTTTCTTTGTAGTTAGTGGATTCTTCTTTCTTATTTTAATACGCAGTGGATTCTTCTTTGTACCAAACGTTTAAAATTGCGTTCCGCCTTAGCGCAATAAGGCTAGCTGTGTTACTTTTTCAGATTTTACCCCCAGTGCAAGGCTTAGACTAGATTAAGCAATAAAAAATTATACGCCTAGCATCCCAAAATCGTACGCTTATTGCGCACGCCAAAAGATAGGCCCAACATAACAGCTGGAGCCCAAATTCCTAAATTAATTTAATTTTAAAATACATACCCTACCACAGTAGTATATAAGTTTGCTTAGCAAATACTCCGTAGGTAGTAGCGTATCTCCGTATTCTGCAACAGCGCCGGTGATCATCTTCTCTGGCTTTGAGTCTGTGGCTTTCTTCTCTTCTTCAGGTTAATTCTCTAACAGAGATACGCTTGTCCAGTATTTTATATTTTATACTCCGTATTACGTATTGATAATATTGTCTTGAAAATTGATTGGAATAGACTTTGCAGAATAACGTGTAAGATGAGTATTATTTATGAGTATAATATTATTTGTGAGCTACTGGATCAATATAATATTTCAATAGTGGAGCATGGGCACAAAAATTATTGCATAATACTATGTAGTGGATGAGTATTAATTATAAGTTAGTGGATCAATAATATATAATACCACGTATGATTTTACAAGGTTTTTTGTTAGACAGTAGATTAGTGGATAATGAATCTTAAGCTATGTATTATTTTATTAGTTTTTTTGTTAGTCAGTAGACTCTTCAATCTAATAGGAAGGACTAGAACTTTAATAAATTAGAAAATATTTATTTTAAATGATGTTAAAACATATTTTTGGATGGGTTTATGACCTCAGTTTTGGATGTTTTACATTAGTTAACTTTTAATTATTCTTTTACTCAAGTATTAATTACATTATTTGTTCTTTTATATTAATAAATTTGTTAAAAAATTGAGGCTTACGCCTCATTGCGCAATGAGGCTTACGCAATAGGCAATGCTAAGAAACCGCCTCAAACAAAGCAAAAGTTTTGCTTTGTACTCGTATAATTTTTATTGATAGACTGCATGTATCACGTAGTGGATTTTTTATTAGGAGTAATTATATTGATTCTTCTTTTTTATTTTAATACATCAGTGGAACATATAATTTTTTTTGCCACCTTAGTGGAATTTGTTACCGCCTTAATACCTACTCGATGACTGGATGCAAAATATTATTAATAAATTAGAAAATATTTATTTTGAATAATGTTAGAACATATTTCTTGGATGGGTTATGACCTCAATTTTGGATGTTTTCATTATTATGACATTAGTTACATTAATATTCTTTTACTCTAGTATTAATTACTTTATTGGAATAATATCTTTTAGTTTAGTATTAATTACATTATTTTTTGTTTTATATAAATAAATTTGTTAACAAATTGAGGCTTACGCCTCATTGCGCAATGAGGCTTACGCAATAGGCAATGCTAAGAAACCGTCTCAAACATGTAATACGCAATTTCGAACCTTGGCTAAGTGTGTTAATTATTAAATTATCTTTGTCAAATACTTTTTAGGTCGAAGTCTTAGAGGATTTGCTATATTACTCCACTTGACCACTTAGGTCTTAGAGGAAATTACATAAACTATACTTCGTATTAAACAATTGGTATATCTTTACATTACTTACAATATATGTCTCTGTTTTAATTCTTTTCTCTCAACTTAGAAGTTTATGTATTTTTCAGAGATTTGGGCCTTTAAACAATTTTACTCCGTATTGAATTAAAGACATGATTTTGGCATATACGAAGTAATTTTTTACTTTATCAGGTTTCAACCCATGCTTTCAGTAAGATAGTTTATGCCTTTGCGGATGGTGTAGTGATTGCAGTAGAGTGACATTTTTTTTTTTTTTTACTTTTCTTCCAATGCGTAAATTTGAAGAAGTATAGTAATTTTAGGAACCGAAAAAAAGGCCAGAACCGAACCGTTCAAACCTTGTTCAGTTCTAATATGGTTCCACTTTTTTTAAAGGAACCGAACCGATTTTAAAAATTACAATTTTTAAAACGGTTCTAGTTTTTTTAACTAGAACTGAACCGGTCTCAGGCCTAACTGTGCTAATTGTGCGATTTTATTGTGATATAGGCTTGAGCTGCTAGCAATCCTAGCAAATTGGAAGAATGGCATACACAACGTTGAAGCCAATGAAGCCCGGTATGGAGGAGCCCCAGGAGCAAATCCATAAGATCAGAATCACTCTCTCTTCTAAGAATGTCAAGAACCTTGAAAAAGGTCTCACCCTTTTGCCTGTCCCTCCCTTCCTCTGTCTCTATTAGAGGCAATATGCTTCCGCTTTTGGAAATTGGACACACCATTATTTAATGAATCAATATAATGTCATGTCTATGGAGGCAGACAGGGGCGTAGCCAGAGCACTGGGCCAGACTGTGCCCATACAAAGATATTTTTTGAAAAAAAATTTACACGGAATTTTTTACACTAAAAATTTAGACACGTTTAAAATTCGGGCTGGGCCAGGGCCAGGGTTAGCCCACCCCTAGCTCCGCCCCTGGAGGCAGATATGGTCTGAACTGTCTTAGTATTTAATTGAAAAACATTAGCTTTAAGATACATATGTTTTTCTGTGATGAATTTTGTTCACAGAGATATTGAACTTGGCTTTTTACTGATATATTCTTTTGATTAATGGAATCAATTGATTGATTTTTTTCCCGCTATTAAATATTGAACAGTTTGCAGTGATTTGGTCCGAGGCGCCAAGGACAAGAGTCTCAGGGTTAAGGGACCGGTTAGGATTCCCACGAAAGTTCTTCTTATTACTACTAGAAAGGCTCCATGCGGAGAAGGTATTCTTGCTCTTTTATTTCGATTTCACTTTCTTTAAGAATGGTAGGTTCCTATCATTGATTAATACTCCCTTCGTCCCTATCGTTCTTACTTTATCTATTGATTATGAACCACATAAACAAAGTTTTCTTAAAAACTGTGCATCACCTTCCTTATACCAAATGTAGTGGGATGGAGGTAGTACTAAATTTGGTCCTCGGCCTTGGCTATGCAATTTGAGGACATAGTTGTGCTGTGGTTCATATTTGGTTCAGAATAGTATTACTGTCAGCAAGATATTTTTGTTAATTTATAGACCCATTTAGGATTGTATTTGGACGTCAACTAATAAATAAGCAACAGATGAGCTAGATAAACAAAGTAAAATATGTGCAGGGGAGTAAATGGACTATAATGAATACGGAGTAATACTCATGTCCCTTTCTGGCCGATGTACTCTCCTTTTTTGTCTGTCCCAATGCTTTCGTAATCTGAACTCCAGTAACTTTATTATCTTTCCTCCTGTTCTTTTTATCTATGATTTTTTTTCTACTTTTTGTGCAGCCATACTACATTTTCTTTCTTTTACAAGTTACAAACTCACAATTATATAATGACTCAACTATCTCTTTTATTTTCCTCCAACTTGTGCCGAACCTATATATCTCTTAGATTTCCGGACACATGGAGTTGTCGAGGGTTTGAACTCTATGGGAAATTTGGGATGGACTCTATTTTATGATAGATAAATCCTGGAGTCCATATTTCGGTAAGTGACACATTTTGTTTGAAACAGGTACCAACACTTGGGATAGGTTTGAACTTCGCGTACACAAGAGGGTGATTGACCTCTTCAGCTCACCCGAAGTTGTCAAACAGATTACCTCAATTACCATTGAACCGGGGGTTGAAGTTGAAGTTACCATTGCGGATTCTTAGTTTTTTTTTGTCTTTAGTAATTAATTTAATTGCTGAATGCATTTTGGGATTTCTTTCCACATCTTCTTAATTCTCATGGACATGAAGAGTTGAAGGTAGTAGACTTTATTTATAGCATTGGGGTTTAGACAAATTTTGTTATTTCAAGAAAGAGCATACGTTTAGAGCGTAGAACATATTATTATTTACAGTATATTATTGCCATTTGGTTTTAGTATATCTTTCCCGACTTTCATGATGTGTTTATGGTGTCTTATCTACATTCCCCTAAATTTGGGTTTACTTTCTGTTATTTACCAGATTTACACTCATTCAATGCATGGAACAACATTTAGTAAAACATTACGTGTTAGTAAAACTTTGCACGCTCTGAACTAGGTGAGAAATAAGAATAATAAAAATTGTGTGGAAGAAGTTTGTATTAAAGGGATAGAAAGTTGCGCTTAATTACGATTCTACCACCATGCTTTTTCATCCCCCCTCCTTAGACCCTTTAAGCTCTAAGACCTACAATCTAATGGACCATATTTATTCCCATTTTAAACCTGAGGTGCACTTATTATTTGATCAAATTTATATACATATATGTAAACACGCACACACGAACTCACATTTTTAGATTAAATGTGAACTTTCACTGCCACCACCTTACTATAGATTGTTTAATCTTACTTTTAATATCTAGTGTGGGTTGTTATGATGTATCCACTTTGTTCATTTGGTTTTGGTGTTGCCTCTATAGTCTATATAGTGCACTCATCTATGTAGCTTGAGTTGGAATAGTTGTATTTCAGCAGATGATGCAATAGTAATTGGTATTGAAAACTTATCTTATTAATTAGAGATTTCACAATTCTTTGATCAATAAAGTTTGGTGAAAGAGTTGATGGTTTGTTCAACAATGGTTGTCTAGCTGCAGTATGAATGTTGGTAATCCCTTGCTATGCTACACTTTTTATTAATAATAACAGGTTACCTTGATTTATTGATCTAAGTAGTTTGGAGAGGTGGACATTGATGGTTCGTTAGTTGCTAGTCATTCGTAGTCATTCATCATCTAATGAGGACATTATCATGGTCAATAATGGTTGTCTTTGCTGCACTGTTCGTGGAGACCTTGTTGAAATGCTTCGTGGAGAATGGTTCATTGGTGTCTGCAGAGATGTAAGCTGTGGTATGTAAATCAAATTAATTCCATTTGTCAGATCTTTTTTCCCCTTATGTGTTATATTCGAAGGCTTTCACTTTTTTTTACATGACAGCGAATAGACAAAACGGCAGTAATGTATTGAAGTACTCAACTTCTCAAGATATGCATAATAGGGCATAAAGTAATGTGAACATGACCAACTATTATTAGAAGTTTGCTTTTCCAAGTGGATAGATATCTTTATATCCTCATTTGTGCAGTTTTTTCCTCATTTTGGATATGGGCATTGATGATACAAGGAGTAGAAATAACGGGAAATTGAACACCTAGTATATTTGCTGATAAATAGGAAAGTTTAAACAGGGGAAAACGTGTCAAAAACACCATCTGAAGAAGCAGAGAATCAAGGCATGTCTCATTACTACATGACACTAACTCTTTATTCTTTATCAACTAGATCCGCACATTTAGTGATAGAGTATTAATTCTAGAGAGAAGTGAGAGCTAGAGAGAGAAAGTGAGTAATTATATTTCTCAAATTGGAAAGAATCCCCCATAATTAGCCCCTTGGGGTCTATTTATAGGTAAAAATGCGGATTTGGGCCCCTAGCCTTGGGCTTAGGAGGCCCATTACAATAATCGTGCCTTCTTTGGGCGAATAAGGCCACTAATGGGCTGAGTACAACACTTAGTACAAAAAATAGGAAAATACATTCTGCCCGGACGAAGTCCGGACGATGCGGTCCATGGACGATGCGGTCCATGGACGATGCGGTCCATGGACGATGCGGTCCATGGACGATGCGGTCCATGGACGATGCGGTCCATGGACGATGCGGTCCACGGATGACGCGGTCCATGGACGATGCGGTCCAAGTAAATCAGGCGATATCTTCTTCCTTGGACGCTGCATGCCTCTGGCCGACGCGGGTGTCCCGCTGGTGTCCTTGGGCCATTGAGTATGTGGGCTATGCAGTCCGGGCCCATATGCTCTATCAGGAGTCCCCCACTCTCTGAGCTGAGATGAAGCCGAAGCGAAAGGGAGTACTTGTTCCTTTCTGTCTGGCCGTTGCGTGAGTCTAAGGCGTTTGATTTTGGATGAAGCGGTTCCCTTGTTTGATGTGGACGAAGCGCGCTTGGGAATTCATAGCCTTGATGCGGGCCGCCGCACTCTTTGTGGAAGTGCTTTTGAAGACGAGGCGATGCGCTTTTCTTTTTTGTAGATGATGCGATGAATCCTGGTGGATAAGTTGGCATGCTTTCATCATTCTGTTGGGGCCGAAGAGCTCCCATCTATTCTTTTGGCCGTAGCGATGACATATTTTCATGAGATAGGGACGGTTGATTCTGTTTATGTAGACGATGCGATGCGCACCTTTGATTCGTTATGCAGCCGAAGCGTTTTGACTTGTGAGTTTTTGTTATGGTGAGACGATGCGGTCTTCTCAGTATACGCAGCCGTTGCGATACTCTTGTATTGATGGACGTAGCACTGCTAGCGAATAAGCCGATGCGCGCTGATTTAGTGACTTTATAGCCAACGCAATCCTTAGTATTTTGATGGCCGATGCGATCTTTTGTTATTGGCCGTTGCGCTTCTCTTTTTTTTTTTTTTTTTTTTTTTTGTGGCCGATACAGTCCCCCAGTCCCCCACTCCTTTGGCCGAAGAGCATCTGAGGCACAAGGGAGTAATGAGCCGATCCGGTACCTATGCGTTTAGTCGTGACTCCAACCCCTAGGCGAACCTGTCCAAGGTAACCCTGTGGGAGAACCCTTGGACGAAGGCCGCAATGCCAGGGTTATCATCGACGGTGCGCGCACAAGCAGCCGTAGCGGTCTATTTAAGGTTCTTTGGTTTGTTGTGAGGACGTCGAGTTTAGGCCGATGCGTTCCCCTTTGGAGTTTTGTAGTAATTGGGCCGCAGCGGTACTCGGCCGATGCCCTGTTCTTTTTTACGGCTGAGTTGGGCCGTAGGGGTGCTTGCTTGAGTGATTTTGAATTGACGCCCCTTGATTGGTTGGAAAAGAGGTGGCCGTTGGTGGAGCCAATGGGATGGCGCCACGTGTAGTGACCGTTGGATCTTTTCTATAAATACCCCCTTATTCCGAAGCCGCCTCCTTATTTGTGCTTTGCTGTTGTCGAATTGCTGCTGAGATTTCTAGAGAGATAAAGTGCTTCCCAGAAATCTTCAAGTGTTCTTCGGATCTTCACCCACTCCAAGGTTAGGTTCTTGAATTGTTCTCCCTTTTTTCTTTATACTTTGCTTCCTAGAGGGTTAGATCTAGTGTTTCTAGGGAAAATCACTTTGATCCTCGAACAACCCTTAGGACGTAGCATAGTTGTTATGCCGTTCCCTGACGGCCGTAGCGTCCCCTCCCCAATTGATTTAACAGCTTCGCTGAACGAATCTGATTGGCCTTTTGACGACGAGGACACATCTCCTGGGGTGGATCTAAGAGTAGTGGAGGCTTTTGAAATTGAGATGGAGAACACTGCGGATTACCGCACCTCTGTGGACGAGGAGCGTCTAAGTGCCGATGCGGGTTCTCAACCTTCTGGTGAGGACGAAGCGAGCTCCGAGCCCCGGCTTCGCGAAGATAATGCGGGTGATGCTTCATCGGCCGCCATTCCCTGTCCACCACCAATCTCGTCTGTTCCGGGTGGCGCGTCGTCCTCTGGGGTGGTGAAGAGACGTACATCGCGTCGTCGGAAAGGTGTATCCGGAGGGCTTTCACAGCTTGATCTGACGAACCTCTACATCATAAAGCCGGAGGGTTCCCAAGGTGAATATCAGGTGGCACAGCTCTACGTCGGTCCTTATGGGAGGGTTAGGGCGCCGAAGCCGACGGACCATGTTCTGGATCCGCCCCCCGGTTACTTCGGAGTGTATCCGATGAGCTTCTCCCAGGGTTTAAGGTTTCCTCTTCATCCGTTCGTCGTGGAGTATCTCCATATGATAGACCTTCCACCCGCCTTATTAACCCCGAACAGCTATTCCCTTATTGTGGGGTTCCTTATCCGATGCGATGAGCTTGGTATTGAGCCGACGACGGCGTTATTCACAAACTTGTACCGGATCGGTCGGGGTAGCCATGAGAATTGTGCTGGATATGCGGCCCTCCAGCAGTTGCCGAAGAAAAGATCCTTTACTGACCTCCCGTCGTCTATTCATGGGTGGAAGAGTAAGTTTTGCTTTGTGAAGCTGGCCGGTGGGGTGTTTTTTCCTTCTCAAGGTCACAACGGCATCTTCAATTTGCACAACCCACCGAGGAGCCCTGAGATTGATGCTCAAGTGGAGGCGTTCTTGAAGGGTGGGCCGCGGAGCGTCCACACTTACATTACTGAATTCAAGATAGCGGCTCTAGGGATGATGCGGTACCATATTCCCGGCGACCCTGATTGCGGATTATGGCCGAAGATATCCGGCTACTTTGAGCAGGCCGATGGGCCCTACTTCGGTGTCCCGGCCGATGCCGAAGGTTGATCACTTTCCTTTGGCTCCCGGTCCCTTTTGCTTTACTTATTTTTCTAACTCTTGTTTTTTGTGTCTTACAGACTTCACCATGAGCCGAAAGATGTTTATGTCCCAGGCCAAAAAGCTGGTGGCCAAGGAGATGGAGGCAGCTCAGCAAGCCGAAGCGTCAAAGGGTTCGGGCGACGGCTCGAAATCTCAGGCCGAAGCGGCGAAAAAGCCGGTAGTGAAGCGGAAGAAGAAGCCCGATGAGGGCCAGCGCACCTTGGCTGAGACGGGTCTGGTGCCGGGCCAGGCTGCCAAGAAGACGAGACGAGACCCTGCTTCTGGTGGTGCTGCTGCAGTCGCTGAGCACGCGTCTGAGATTCCGGTGATTGAAGACCTGACGCTGGACATTGCGTCGTCGGCCCTTGCTCCCACTCAACCCGGCGCTGTTGCCAAGGAGAGTACCCGCACCGGCCGTGATGTGGCCGCGGGCCTGTATGAGGTGACGGTCCGGTATCCGACGAAAGGCGGGCTCTTCAATGAGAAGGTATCTGGGCATGACGTCCTGTTCCAGGCTATCCCAGATGAGGATAGGGCGTATTTACGCCGGCAAGGCAAGGAAGTGCGCCTCTTT